TATAAGTATTTTTTTTGGCACTTATGTATTTTATTTTATTTTTTAAATTTAAAACTACCAATCCTGATAACAAGCTCAGATGGAAATAGATGAGGGATACTGTAAAAAAAAAATTTTGAGCCCCCTTTATAAGAAGTTTCTTGCTCTACCACTATTTACAACTGTATTAGGAGGCAACACGTGCATAAATTAGTGTGTAACATTGTATAGGAATTTTGTGTAGCATGTAATTTTTTACTTTTTTTATGTATAGCCATCCTTGTAGCCCTTAGAATCCTATAAGATGCAATTAGGAAATGTTATGAGACCCTTGAATTTTCTCTAATAGTAAATATTCTACAAGTTAGAGATCTATAATCTTCTTCTATACTCTCTCTACTCTCTCTTTGTACACTCCATTCTTACTCACAGGTTGTTGACCTTCTAATAAAATCAGGTACCATCTTCAATAACAACATCAAGCCATTTTCACACTACATGGGGTCAGCTATATGAATAATTTTTCTCCATTGGGTCCAGTTAAGAGTAAAATTATGATTTAGTTCTAATAAAGAAAGTTCATTTTTTATATTTTCTAACTAAGTATTTATAGGACAACCTCTACCTTTATTAACAAAGATAAATCTAGTACATCAATTCTCCTAATGAGGTCATTATAAGGCCATCATTTTATGTAACCAACCCATCTAAAGCAACTCTTTCTAATCTTATCTTTCATAGGAGCTACTCCAACCTTTTCACGTCCATGCTCATTCAGTATCCTGTCTCTAAGAGTAAAGACACTCATCCACCTGAGCATCCTCGCCTCTACAACACTTAACTTAATATTATGCTTCACTTTTAATGGCCAACATTTTGTGCTATAAAGCATTTCAGGCATAACGACCATCTTGTAGAATTTTCCATTAAGTTTGAGTGGTACTTTTCTATCACACAACAAGCTCGATACATTCCTCCACTTCATCCAACCAACTTGAATTCTATTGATGATATCCCCATCAATTTGACCATTACTCTGAAAAAATAAACTCAAGATATCTAAAATGTGTACTCTTATTAATGACTTGATCAGTCAGAGTCACAAACCCCCACTATATATATTACTATTAAAATTATGCTCCATGTATTTAGTTTTAGATCTACTCTAATGAAACCATTAGACTTTAAGGTTGACCTCAATAATTAAAGTTTACCATCAACTCCCTCTTAGGACTTATCAAAAAGAAAGAAATCATCAGCAAAATCCATACACTAGGGAACATCCTCTTACAAATCTCTAATAAGCACATCCATGACAAAAGAAAAAAGATATAAGCTAAAGGCTAATACTTGATGTAATCCAAGTGAAATTGGAAAACACATGGTCAAACCAGATTATGTTTGAACACAAGTAAATTCTCCATCATACATATCCCTAATAATATGAATATAAGCATTATTTATCCCTTTCTTTTTTAGAACTATCCATAGAACTTCTCTAAAAACTTTATCATATGCTTTCCAAAATCAATATATATCATATAAAGATCCACCTTTTAATATCTATATTTCTCCATCAAACCTATCAATAAATTTATAGCTTCCATTATAGATATACTTGGCATGAATAAAAATTGATTTTGACAAACATTATTACCACATAGTAACCAATGCTACATAACTCTCTCCTATAGTTTCAAAGTATGACATGAAAGTATGAATAGGTTGTTCGATCTATTAAGTTTGTCCTTAGGCTAACAAAGATGGGGGGATAAATTGGTAATTTAAAAATCTCTTGGTAGTTTGAGAAAATCGATTTTATAGAGTTAAACACAATAATGAGTTTTTTCAAAATATCTTTTTAACCATAAAATTTAAACTTGTAAAAATATAAAAATACAAAAAATAAAAATAAAGATAGAAAAACAACACAAAAATTTATAGTGGTTGTGTCCAACAAGACCTATGTCCACCCCCTGAAGAGGTAATATACTATACTAAAGAGACTCTCCTTTTGCTCCCTCAACAAGGAAGAAAATCCCTTATAATTATTCTCTTTTCTACCAATCCCCAGTATGGTAGAGTATTATCATCCTTTCATACCCTCCTGGTGTTGGCAAATAGCCGTTGTACTTTCATAACCTCTTAGTGTCGGTAGAGAATTGTCATCCTTTCAAACCCTCCTAGTGTTGAGAGAGAATCGTCATTCATTCGTACCCTCCTAGTGTCGATAGAGAACCATCATCCTTTCACTCCCTCCTTGTGTTGGCAGAGTACCGATGTCTGTTCACTCTCTCCCTGTGTCGGCAAAGAATCCTCTAAGAGTCAATTCTGCCCGACTTTTTCTCACTCTAGGCAATTTGTAGTGAGAGAAGTTCTGGGGATGGCGGGGGGCGACTGAAGGTCTCCCCCCCCCCCCCCCCCCCCCGGTGGTGACGGCACGCGCTTAAGCGGGGGCGGTGGTGACGGAGCAACTGGCGGGGAAGAGCGACGATGATCGGGAGTGGGATCTGGCGGTTCTAAGAAGCATGGCGATCGATCGGGAGCTGGATCTCCCAGCAAACCCGTGATGGCTAAGATGAGAGGGAAAGCTCAGGAAGCTGCAAAATCTGGATCGGAGGGATCGGTGGAAGGTTGATGGGAAGTGAAACAGAGAAATATGGATCCCAAAGGGATTATACAGATCGGGAAGAATGGATTGGACCAGAACAAAGCTGATGGAGCTAGGAGGGAGAATCCTCCTCAGAGGGAGACGATGGAGCTGGAATCGAAATCGGATGTGAGTTTGAAACTCAACCCGATGTTCATTGCGTCAGCCTCTTCTATGGAAGTTGAAGACACAGCTCTGATCGAGGACAGCGGTGAAGCAATGGAAGAAACATTTGACGTGAATGCTGCAATGCCGGGATGGAATTGTCAGATGGAGGTGAGTGTAGATGTTGTTGATTGGAATAATAAGGTGATGATTGATGCTTCTGTGGAGGAAGAAATGGCGGTGACGGAAATGGAGGTATCTGTACAAGATGTCGTAGGTGTGATCGGAGAAGGGAGCAGCTCCTCAGGTTTGAGCAAGCCAATTGGATGCACGTCAGATGCTTGTGGGAATGTTGATGTTGGACAATCAAATGTAAACTGCGGGGATAACTTTGGGAGGGGGGTGACCCCGAGAGTTTCATTTACGGCTAGTATGGGGAATCCGTGGAATAAGCCGGATCATGTCCTGATCCTGCATCCGGAAGATTTCAATGCTATTTCAGGAGACGGGATCTCCATTGATCTGAACTTGGACAGAGTTAGAGCTAACATGGAGATGCTTGACCGAGCAGTGGTGGGGAAGATTCTGGGTAGAAGAGCTTCGTTCTTCTTGTTGAAATCTGAGATCCAAAGACAATGGGGAAGGTTTGGAGAGTTTCAGCTCACCTCCTTGGGTGCGGATTGCTTTATATGTATTTTTACTTCTGTGGAAGCTAGAAATGAATTGCTAAGGGGCGGCCCCTGGTTTATTGGTGGAAATTTGGTGGGATTGGATAGGTGGACACCCAATTTCTCCCCTGCTTCTATGGAGGGATTGTCGTCTCAGGTTTTGATACGATTGCCTAATCTCCCATTGCAATATTGGGATGAATGCAACATTGCTCGGAATGCCATGAAGATCGGTACTCCTTTATGGATTGATGCATTGACAGCAAACTGGGGAAGAATAGAGTATGCTCGGGTATGTGTGTGGATGAATTTGTCTAATAAACTCCAGGCGGGAGTGTGGGTCAATGGATGGAACGGTAGGTTTTATCAGAAGGTGGAATACAAAGGAATTGGCACTATGTGCTTCGGCTGTGGTAAAATTGGCCATCGGAGAGATCATTGTCCTTTGAAGGATGGTGGTCATGGGGATGTCGGGATGAGGAAGGTAGGAGAGCAGTTGAAACAGAGTGAGCAAATGGTGAAGAACCCTGAGCAGTCCTCAGGAAGGATTGAGCGAGCTGAGAAGGTGCAAACCAAGACAGTTACTCAACCTGTGATCAAAATTGAAGGAGGTGGTCATAGCAATGGGTGAGACAGAAGAACTATGGAAGGAGGGAAGGATGTTAAGCAGGGAGCTATTGCCGGAACTTCCATTGGGAAGGAATGTGATCAGGAGAATGATGAGGAGGTGGGACCGTGGATTCAGGTTCCCCCTCGACGAAGAAGGAATATGAGACCTTCTGGGAGGAATTTTGTTGGTAACAAAAATAGACAATTACAGAGTAATCCCAAACAAGTTTATTTGGGGAAGGTTGAAGCTCCTTAGAGCACTCTGAGACCTACTCATAAGCAGAACAAGATGGGATTTAAGAAACCTTTACCCTTCACGGCAGGTATGCCACCTCCATTGCCAAGAACCAATCGATTTAAGGTTATGAAGGAACTTAGTCAATTTGGACCTATTACGAAGTTTTCAAGGAAAAGGAGGAAGGAAATGACAGACATCACTAATGGTGGAGAGGATTCTCCTATTGATTCTGGCGGCGGGGACGCTTCCTCATTTTTTTTTTAATGTCATCGATCCTGATATGGAACTACAGGGGAGCCCGGAAGAAACAAACGAGCTATTAGCTGCGTAACCTTGTTGGTAACAATGAGGTTTGTTTTGTGGGACTGGTTGAAACCATGGTGATGGACATGAGCAGACTCGAGGTAGATCGTTTGATTGGGAATGAATGGGATTTTTTTCATTCCCCTGCGAATGGTCGATCTGGAGGATTGATTTCCTTGTGGAAGAAGAATGTTGCTAAGTTTGAAGTTATTGGCAACAAGGAGCAGGTCCTTATTGGGAATCTTACTTTCCCTAATATGCAAAGGTGGACGGTTGCTGTGGTATATGCTAGTAAAAGTTATCATAGCAGACGGTTGCTGTGGAATACTATTAGTCGTTGGTTTGTTCTGATCTCCCTGTGATTGTGGGGGGAGATTTTAATTGCTGCTTAAACCAAAGCGAGAAGAAGGGTGGGAGGAGATTTAATTTCTCAGTGGGGGCTCAAGAGATGGCTCAGTTCATGGTAGATAATGATCTACATGATTTGGGATTTTTGGGTCCCAAATATACATGGTCTAATAATAAATTTGGGCTAAGCAAGATTTGGGTGAGGCTTGATAGAATTCTAATGAATTCTGAAGGACTGAGACAGGCACCGGTTGCAGTTGTTAAACATTTGGTTCAGCTGACTTCAGACCATTGTCCATTGATGGTGAACCTTTTTGCTGAGAAATCGAGACCTGGGAACAGATGGATAAGGTTTGAAGATATATGGATGACTTAACCTGTCACTTGGAGGCTTGTTTGGAAGAATTGGAACAGGGAGGACTTTGGAATGCCTGATGAGGTGGTGAATTGCAAGTGTAGCAGAACTATGAAGGCTTTGTTCTTTTGGAGTCGTAACCGACTGAAAGAACTTAATGAGCTGAAAATTTCTCTGGAGAGCCGTATGGAGGAGCTTCAACTGGTGGATTGTTCTCCTAATGGGCTGAATGAGGAACAGGAACAAGAGCTCAGATTGAAGGCAATTGAGTTGAACACTACTCTAGCTCGGCTTGCAACCTGGTGGAAGAAGAGAGCGAAAGACAAATGGATTGATGAAGGTGATATGAACTCGCATTTTTTCCATTCCTTTGCGTCTGCTCGGAGACGAGGTAATCGTATCATAGAAGTTGTAAATTCTAATGGGGAGAGGATTGTTGATCCGAACCTTATTCAGGAGGAATTTTGGAATTTCTTCATGCTGAAATGGAGAGACAGGCAGTTTTCCCTGGCTAATTGGCCTGAATTCGGTAACCATGATATGATTCCTGCGCAGTACAGTGATAGTATGGAGGCTGAAATTACTGAGTCTAAAATCCGTCAAGCTGTGTTTAGTATGGGCAGTAACAGAGCGCCAGGGATTGACGGTATAACCTCCTCCTTTTTGAAATTTTATTGGGAGATTATAAAGAAAGATGTGATTAGTGTTATTATGCATTTTTTTGCCACTAATGTGATGTGCCAGAGCTGGAAGGAAACCCTTGTGGTGTTAATTCGAAAAATGGAGAATGTTAATATGCCATCAAAGTTTAGGCTGATAAGTTTATTTCAATCCTTTTATAAGATTGTTTCTAAAGTATTGATTAACCGCCTAAAACCTGTGCTGAGTACTATCATTAGTGAGGAGCAGGGGGCTTTTGTTCCAGGTCGATCTATATCCAGTCATGGGCTGATGGCACAGGAAATGATGAGTAAGTTTATGTACTCTAACCAGAAATCTGGACTTATGGCTTTGAAGATTGATATGGAGCAGGCCTACGATTGTATGTCATGGGAAACACTGCAGGAAGTTATGAATTTGATGGGCTTTAAGAAGAGATTTATCACTTGGGTTATGCAGTGTATTTTTCAGCAAAAGTTCACTTTGCTGATGAATGGGAACAGGACAAGGTGGATTGATGCTAAGAGTGGGCTGAAACAAGGATGTCCCTTATCGCCGTATTTGTTTATCCTTTGCTCTGAGCTTCTGCCCAAATCTTTTAAACAGCGTGGAGTGCAGCTTGGAGTTCAGGTGGCTAGGAACACAGTAAGTATTTCTCACTTGCTGTACGCTGATGATATCCTTATTTTTGCAGAAGCTAGCAGGTGCAATGCCGGTCAGATTATGGATCTTTTGGGAGACTATTGTTGTTGGACTGGACATAAGATTAATTGTGGCAAGTCTGCTATTCTTTTTAACAGAAAGTGCCCAAGTTGGAGGAAGAGGATGATTGCTAGAATGATGGGATATAAAAAGGTTGATTCCCTAGAATACCTTGGCCTTCCTCTTGTCATGAGGAGGCTGAATGGGGCTGATTTCTCCAAAATTATGAGAATTGCATTTGAGAAGATCAACCTCTGGGGCAGAAAACATGTTTCACTTGCTGGCAGGGCTCTCTTGATTAGAACTTCATTGTTATCTGTTCCTATGTATGCTATGACCCATACTTCTATTCCTAATGGAGTTCTTATGGCTATTGAAAAAATGGGGAGGCGGTTTTTATGGCAGAAAGATGTTAGCAGCCGTGGGATGCATTATGTTGGGTGGAAGGAATTGTGCCAACCGACGGAGTTTGGGGGGCTTGGCTTTCATTGTCTTACTCAGTGGAAGGGAGCCTTGCGTGCACGGGTGGTGTGGGATCTCATTCAGAATAAGGATTCTATTCTTTACAAGGTGTTGATGGCAAGGTATGGTATGAAGTTATGTGAATATGATCATGGGAAGAAAGTCTCTGTTACTTGGAAGGTGATCCAAGATGGTGCTAAGGTGTTGAGACCGATCCTCAGGTGGAACATTGTGGATGGAAGCCAAATTGATGTGATGCATGATGTGTGGATTATGAATTATAATATTGCTAAGTGGCCAACATTTATTAACATTGAAGAAGTGGAAAATATGAAGGTCTGTAACTTGCTGAATAACTCGTTTCAGTGGAATGTAGAGATGGTTAAGCATTATTTTGGGAATAATATGGCTGAACGTATCTTAGCCATTAATATCTCCACTGAGAGTCAGGAGGATAACCCGGAGCTCATCTATTCTAGGTTGAGTATGACAGTTGCGGCAATGGCTTATAGAGATAGTGAGGAGAAAGGGAACTATGAATTTAGTTGGTTGAAGCAACTGAAACTGCACCCACGGGAACATTTCTTTTGGTGGAGACTATTGAGGGTTGCCATTCCAACCACTCACTGGTTGAATAGAAGGACTTTAGCTGATACATATCTATGCCCGTGGGGATGTAATGAGGAGGAGAATTTAGATCATTGCTCGGCCACGTGCACTAAGTTGAAGCAGGTGATGGAAATTCTTTGCAAATGGGGGTTTAATATGCCCATTGTTAATTCCCTGGTAGATCTAAAGGTTGAATTGCTGAAGTATGCTGAGAATAATCCTAGCATGGGAAGGATTTACTGTTATACAGTATATCAAGTGTGGAGAGCCCGGAATGATATGAAGCACCATAATATGTGTAGATCACCTTCTGTTATTGCTGCTGCGGTTCTCTCTTTGCTGCCAAAACCATTTAAATGGCCAATGCTGGAGCAATGGGGTACTAATCAACCCTTTGGGTTTCCGTCTCACAAGCTTTGGTGCCCTCCCCCTCCAGGTTGGTTGAAGTTTAATTTTGATGCAGCACTTCTTCCCTCTAATCAGGTTGGCTTGGGTGTTATAGCTCGGAATCATTATGGGAAATTGGTTGTTGCTGCGGGGAGAAGGACCGAACACTGGGATGTTTTGCAGGCAAAAATGTTGGCAGCAATGGCAATCCGTGAGGTTTTCATGGATTGGATGTTTGCGCTGGATGGAATCATTATAGAAGGAGATTGTATTAATGCAATCAGGTGGCTGCAAAGGCTGAACGATCGCCAGAATGTGGTCCATCGTAGGGTGGAAGGACCGGATACAACTTTTCTTCAGGAGTTTAAACAGGTTCTTTTTCAATATACACATAGGAATAGCAATCGTGTGGCTGACTTTTGTGCCCACCTTGCTTTAGGGAATGAGTTTACTTTTTTTGATGTGAATAATAGTGAATTCCCCTCAATATTGTTGTCTTTTTTGAGGGAGGAGAGTGATAGGGTATAGCTTACTTTGATGATAGTTTGTAATAGTTTTATTTCATTTTAATGCAAAATGAAGGAATTCAGCTGTGTCGGCAAAGAATCAGATCTTCTCTCAAGCATCTTCAAAGAAGTAAGGAAGAGATTTAACAAATTTATAAAGAGATCCTTACCTTTGGGAAACCTTCTGGACCCTTCAAAAATTCCACTTTCAAGATCTCTCTATCCACACTCTTAAACACTCTCCCAAAGAACTCTCACTCTTCCTCTCAAATAAAATTTGGAAAAGGATTTTTTCAGTCATTTCTTAGGAGTCTTATATAGTAAAGACACAAAAATCTATCTAGAAAACTAAAAATTTCAATTTGATTATCCTGGATCGTACAGTATAATTGCACATTGTACGTATGATCAACTCAAAATTTTAATCATATGATCCTGTACAAATAGATTTCATACTCTGATTTGCATGTCTATGAAATGAAAATGTATAGTACAATCAGTTTAAAATTGAACATATTTGTTCAGTACGATTCAGTACAAATCAATTTTGCACTCTAGATAATGTATTATATGAACCCCATATTATATAGTATGATCAATTTTAATCAAATCATGCTTCATTCAGTATGAAAATGTACTATTTCATTTTTTACTCTAGACATCATCTTTATGAACCTAAGATCATATAGTACGAATAGTTAAAAAAATTTACCTATTCATATGGACTAAATGATACGCTCCCATTTCATACTCTAGGCATTGTCTGTATAAACCTAAGTTCCCACAATATAAATAGTTTACAAAAATTTTTAGTTCGTTTGGGATGAACTAGTACGTAGTCATTTCGTACTCTAGACGTCATCTATACGAAGGTAACTTCATACAGTATGAACATAACTTAGAAAACTTTTAAAACATGGTTCAATTAACTCTATTAGGGAGGAACATTCTAAGAAAATCATCTTGTATGATACTTGATCATACAGTATAATTATATTTAAAAATTATAATTTATACACTTCCTAATGTGTGTGTACGGTTATAAATTACAATCACACTCTCTCAGACTCATGAAAAATATAAAAAGTATAAACTTTAATTATAATAAACTCTAATTTAATCTATCTTGAAGCCTTAAGCAGTTTGGAGTATGATTTCTCTAAAATATTAGTACACACAAATAGCAAAATAAAATTTCTAATATATGTTGGAAGAAATAATAATCAATATAATAATATTTTGGAATCATCAAAAGCACACATGATATAAAAACATAGTTATAAAAACTAAGTTGCAATAATCTCCCTTTTTTATGATGATAAAATAATTATTGTTTGAGTTAACATTTAAAGCAATTTTCTCCTTAGCTCCCCCTAAATGATTATCTAAACTAAAAGTATGGGGCTCCCATGAAGATCAAAAAATACAAACCTAAAAATTTAAAAAAGAAATAATCAAACACAAACCTAAAAATTAAAAAAAGAAATAACAACTACTAAAAACAAAAACAACTCGAACAAAATAAATTAACACGAACAAAAACATACACACATGCATAATACAACACACGCATATCAAAACCTAAATAATATTATGATTGATTCAAGTACTAAAAATAAAAATAACATGAACAAAAACATGAACACGAACAAAAACATACACAGTATAATACAATACACGCATAACAAGCAATCAAATAATATAATGACTCCTCCATTTGACAATAACAAAAAGGAAATAAACACTTGAAATGAAACATTTCTATAGATAAACCAAAAGAGTTGAAGAAGAAAAGATTTTTAAACAAATTACAAATGCAATATTAACTTTGTTATAGTAGAAGGAATAATTTTAAATTTTTAAATCAAAGAGCAATTAAGGTAAGAAAAGTCAATCAGGTTCATTGTTCATACTAGAAAAATTAAATAAAAAATAATTATTACAAAAATGATGAAATAAAGATTAATTAATTTTGAATTCAATAGTGAATATTATTATTAATTAGATCAATTTGGATTAGAGATAGAATGATAAAGGAAAGAACAATGTAATGTTTTCAATTGGTGACATTGCACATCTTTTTATTTTCAAAAAAAAAAAAAGGCATTGCACATCTTTTCAAATATTTTTGGCACACCTTGTTCATCTTTTCTATTTGGGCTAATTTTATGCCTCTTTTCACTTTGTGAATCATTACACATCTTTTCTATTTTTTCCTACTTTCTACATCTTTTTTTTTTTTTAAACTTTTTGGGTCATTTCAATATCAGTAATCAAAATTCAAATTCCACTAATAATAAAAAAAACATATTGAAAAAGAAAGAAAAATAATAAGACACCAATCTTGTAATAATTATAGCTTAGATATGTTTGTCTATACGAATATAAAATTGATCTCCTTATCTACATGTAGTTATAATTTAATTTAAAATTTTGAAAGATTAAATTTTGTAAGGAAATTAATTTGTAGAGCAAAGCAATTGAGAATTCCATTTCAATGATCAACTACAAAAGATTTTTCCATTAAAAACGCAAACATTTCAAGAAATTAAATTCAATGCAAGTTTACATAATATTCCATCATTTCATTGATTATCAAAGAGCACATACAACATATTTCTCATTTCATATCATTCCATATAACATCATCCAACTAACATCAACTCAGAAATTAAAAATAATAAATGAAAAAACATTAAACTCATAGGAGAAACATTACAATAGAAAACACAAAAACTCATAAGCAATAACAGTACAAAAGTACATTTAGTAATCAAAGGGGCCCTGATCTGGAGGAGGTGGTTGGTTAAATATTGAAAACTAACTACTGATAGTAGCTATATTTATGTTCACCAAGTCAAATTGACCTCGGATCCAACCCATGTCTTCATGATTTAAGTGATTCAAAATTTGATCAAAGCATTGATCAAAATGAGTATCCAATCTATCAAAGCATTGGACCATTTCTTGGAAGAAACTTTTGTCAAGTGCATGTGTAGGTGAAGGTGCTTGAGTAGGAGCTCCCCCTTCTTCCTCTGAATCATCACTCTTAGAACTTTGATCCTGCCCAAAAAGTGTTTGAAAAGAGGCATCAGTATAGTAAATAGGGAGTTCAGTGGGAGGATCATGATGAATTAGATTGTACTTCTTTTTTAAGATATAAGCAACTAGTTATCCTAAAGACACATTTTTTCTTTCTCTTATGATAAGGAAGTCTAATCTAAAAAAAAATTATAAATATAATCCATGATAAGTTGGGCTTCATCAAAAAGTTTTTTAGTCATTATTAAATAATTGACTTTGGAAAAAAGAGGAGTCATGTTAATGGGATCGCCAGCTTTTAGAATAATAGAGGTTCTCAAAACATGTTGGATGATCCTAGCATTTTGATTGAGAGTATAAACATGAGACAAATGACTCACTTGGGCAACACCTCTAAGAATTTTATTAATTTTGGACCAATCAAAGTTAGCTCTGGAGGCTAAAGTATACTCTCTAATCCCTTCTCAGGTGGAGAAAGTTGCCTTGATCGTCCTTTATAATTTCTACTTGTTGCTTGAGAACATAGGAGGTAATCCTAGTGTTGTCCTGATTTACTCTCATGTTCAGTAGAAAAAATTGGAATGTATCTTTATGGTAGGCATAGATGAGAGTCAGGATAAATAAAAGTTGGGTTGAAGCGAATAAGGGCATGATAGAGAAATGAATATCACTCTATATGAGAAGTTGAGAAGGGGTGATTTTAGCAGCATAATACATAAAGTAGGCATCCTCATTCTCTTTGGATAAAAATTTATCATCCCTACTTGTTTTAGAGGAGGGCCATATGATCATATAGATGAACATGTACTCATCTAGGATGATCATAATAATAAGATTATTTAATGGAGGTTAGGTTGGTTCCCCATAAAAACTAACAACAGGACCATATAAATGAAATATGATTTCGTACATACGATCTATAATCAATAACTGACATTAACTAAAAAACCATCCCCACTTGTATAGAAGAATCATTACATGTCATATAGTATGATGATGCATCATACAATACGAACTCCTATAAAAAACTAAGTTTTATACACTCAACATAGAAACCTATCATGTACAAACTATATAATTTGTATAGGAAAAAAAAATTATACAATACAAAAAGAACACTTAGAAAATAAGGCATGATGATTATAAAATGTTCTCAAAATTAATCACCTTAAATCCAATGACATGCTTCAAGTAAAATTAGAAAACAAAAGTAAAAAATGCAAAACTTGGCACAAAAAAATAAGCAAAACAAACAAATAGAAAAAATTAAACAAATGCATATTCATAACAAATCAAATTTTACAGAATTTTCAATTTAAGCATTAAGATCAATCACACCTAACCTAGTTCTTAAGTTGCTAAATATGTAGAAGGCCAACGGTTTTGTAAAAATATTTGCAAATGTATTTTTAGTAGCAACGTGATGTAGTTCAATTTCTCCCTTAGCTACTTGATCTCTAATGAAGTGATGCCTTATATTTATATGCTTGGTTCTAGAATGTTGAATAAGATTCTTTGAAATGCATATGACACTATTATTATAACAAAAAATTATAATTTTACCAAATAAAAATCCTAAGTTAAACAATTATTATTTTAACCAAAGAATTTATACCACATAACTACATAAGGTAGTGTATTCTGCTTCAGCAGTAGATATGACTAATAAACTTTATTTCCTACTAGATCAAAAAATTAAAGTATTTTTGATAAATTGATAAGTTTCAGATGTACTTTTTTGATCAACCCTCACCCTAGAAAATCTGAATCAGAATATCTTATTATTTAAAAAGAAGAGCTATGATTAGGATACTTAATCCCTAAGTTTTGAGTTCCCAAATTATATCTCAATATGATTTTAACTGCTGTTAAATATGATTCCTTTGGATCATATTGAAATTTAGCACTAAATAAATACTGAACATTATATCTGGTCTGCTAGTAGTCAAATAAAATAATGATCCAATTATTCCTCTACAT